TGTATCACCCAGCTTCTGAACCACCCCAAATGATTTCCTGCCAAATACCAATATTTTTATCTTTACCTTTGTCATTAAAATCTCACTCCATATTCAAAGACAAACACTGAATGCCTAACTCCAATTCTATTTACTTCATTGGAGGAAAAGTTAAGGCAACAGTGCGTGCTTCTGAAAATTCCACTCAAACAATATGAAATGGAAAAAAAAAAAAAAGCTTTTAAATCTGGAAAAATTGTAAAGTCTACACCTTTTACAAAAACCAACTGAAGCAAAACCTAAAGAAGAGTTCTGTGTAGCTCAAAATCTTTTATCGTACACCAACAGAAAAGCTAGACTAGTAAAAGATATTACCTCACCTACCTTGTTTCTCTAAAAGAAACTATTAATAAAAATACATGCCCACATTAGAATTTACAGGAAATTGCCTTTTCAGAATTCAAACAAAAAGCATACAGCTTTCTCTCCTCCCCCACATTTCTAAGTGTCCTGTAAATAATCATTAAAGGAAGAGATTCAACAACTTTGAAATGTGATAGGGTAGAAAAATTAGAGAAACTATTACCTCCACCTCTCTAATCGCAATGTCTACAACCTAATTCTACCATTTAAAATGCTGCTAAAATAATCTTTTTGCCTCACAGCTCTGCCAGCTCCGCCCCCAGTTTCTTCTTTAGCTCCCCTTTATCCACCACACCAAAAACTAATTTCTTGTCCTTACTCAGGAAAGGTCTGCATCATTTATAGCCCCACCCTACCAGGCTGACTCCCACGTTCACTATCACTGATGCCAACCCTGGTCACCCAATTCTCTGCTTGTTCTCCAACCACTTGCATTCCTTCCCCTATGCCACTCTTTAAAAGAAAAAGAAAAAACAAAACAAAAAAAATGTAAACCACCACCTAATCCTCCTTCAAGTCCCTCAAAACTCATCTCTTCCATAATGTATATCATAATAACAGCTATACAGGTAGAGAACTGTGATGATTGTTACTGACTGCCTACAATATATCATCTTAACCAAGATATAAACCAGAGGCCTTGACCCCTTGTGGTTACTAAACGTTCAATAGTAATTTTCACAAGAACAAGAGGTGTCAACTACAACTCCTTAGCAAATATTCTATTTTGGTAATTACCAGGGATTTCAGGAAGCAGATATATCCAAATTTGCTATCTGCCTAGCAAGAAGAGTGCAAATTTACCTGCCACAGTTAGCTCTGCCTTCAGGACTGAATTACTGTTACACATTGTGTGTGTGTGTGCACGCATGTGTGAAGGAAATAGCCTGAGTGGCTTAGTGTAGGTCTACACCACCCACCTTATAACGGCACAGCTGTGCTGCTACAGCTGTGCTTTTGTAAGGCACACAGCGTAGTCGCTATTTGTTGCTGGAAGAGAGAGCTCGCCCAACGATAAAATAAAACACCAACGAGGGGTGGTACCTTAATCAACAGGAGAGTGGCTCCCACAGATGAAGCACTGTCCAAACCACGTGCAATGGAAATCGTAGGCTGTGGGAAGCTGTGCCTCCCCAAACAGACTAGCCCACACTCTGCCTCCCCCCAGCCCTCTGCCCTGGCTGCTGTGCTGCCCCGGGGCTGGGGGTCGCTGCTGCCGCAGCACACCAGGGCTGGGGGCGCTGTTGCTGTGCCACCCAGCACACTGGGGCCACAGTGGAGGTGCAGACGGAGAGGGTGAGGGGCAGAGCCTCAGGCACAAGGGGAGGGGCCGAGGTCTAGGCTTCCACAACAGCCAGGTCACCGTCCACCTATAGTGCACACCAGCACTTTTTGTCATTAAAACGTTTGTTGTTCAGGAGGGATGGAGGGTTTCCACACCCCTGAGCAACAAAAGTTTTAACAGTGAAAGTGCAGGGTAGACAAAGCCTAAGAAACAAAAGCTAGTGCAAAATATGACAGCGTGTTTATTAGGTGGAGTTCCATGCTAGAATTACATAACACCAGTGCTTCGCGATCTATGGTCAATGATCAATGATCAACGATCAGTTTCCAAGTGGAATTCAAGGAGCTGGTTTAAAGTCCTACATTGTTTGAGATGTTAGTCAAGAGACTTCTACTCCTCAAGCTACACTGCCGCAGCTAGGATCAGAGGCAGTGCTCAACTGACAAACTCTCAGTAAGAGAGAGGGAGTTACTAGCAGGGTGTTCTCAACTTTAGAAAAATCTTCTCCCTGTTGGTCCAGGGACCATATTGGCTTTCCAGGCACACTGCAAGGTCCATCTTTCCACCCATGCAGTTTGGGAGGGCAGGCTGTGGGTTGGAGGAATTTTATTATGGCTGGTTGGTGGAATGGGGTATTTATGTTTGCTGATGCATATTTGTATATTTATTGCTAAAGATAAAGAGTCCTGGAGATATTCATTGTGAAATTTAGATTGCAAACTGGTGCTTATTTTATAAATCTAAACAAAAAAATGTGGAGAGTTACTATTATATCAACTGCACAAAAGGCAAATTAAAAGACCTCTCCCTAGTAGTAACTTTCTCTTTAAATACTGTACAAGTAGGTCCAAGGGTACTGAATTACTTACGACAATGAATTACCTTCCATACAGATCTTCAAGAACTTCAAATATTAACTGATCAAATCTCAACACCCTTGTGAGTGGTTTCATTACCTCCACTGTACAGAGGAGGAAACTGAGGCAGAAAGAGGACTGTGTTATTTGCCCAGGATCACACTGCAAATCCATGTCAGAGGTTTTGAAACAAAAGCACCTTGAATTTTCTGTTATAGTTATAGGATCACACTATTTTGTATCGAACACGCTGTACTGTCTAGTCCAATCGATGCTTCTCTGGTGCAACCATCTATCCACTTAGGCTTCCTGTTGACCAGTGGTTCTCAACCAGGGTACACGTACCCCTGGGAGTACGCAGAGATCTTCCAAGGAGTACATCAACTCATCTAGATGTTTGCTTAGTTTTACAACAGACTACATAAAAAGCACTAGTGAAGTCAGTACAAACTAAAATTTCCTACAATGATTTGTTTATACTGTTCTATATACTATACACTGAAATATAAGTACAATATTTATATTCCAGTTGATTTATTTTATAATTGTATGGTAAATATGAGAAAGTAAGCAATTTTTCAGTAATAGTCTGAGGTGACACTTTTTATGTCTGATTTTATAAGCAAGTAGTTTTTAAGTGAGAAGACACTCGGGGGTATGCAAGACATATCAAACTTCTGAAAGGGGTACAGTAGTCTGGAAAGGTTGAGACCACTGCTGTAGGCAACCAACACAGAAATCTTTCACAACAGGGAATACTGCATGAAAGCTGTTTTAATACTGTGATTAAGTTCTCTCATGCATGCAGCAATACATGAATTCATAAGCAGTTTCCAATTTGAGAGCATCCTAGATCTTCCCTTACAGCTGTTCTAAAACACTATGGAAGACATTATACATTTGTCTTGAATGATCAAAGAGGAGGTTTGAGCACAGTTTGAACTAGGTTAACAATAGATAGATGTAATTTAATAGCAAAGCCACTGTTAGATCTCATTTCAAATGGAGATGAAGATAAGTAACTTGCTTTTCTTACACTTTAGATTCTGTCTATAAAAATTTCACACATGGCATAGAACGCTCTAACCTTACAGTTGCTCCATCTTCTTCTACTTGGTGTAATGAGCATTTTAGGCTGCAAGGCTCTTTGCTACCTCCTTAACCCTGCTCTCTAGACACCTCTAATTTCCACCCCTATAGTCATCAGTCTCCAGCTGTACCTCCCTATCTTCTTTCCTTTGCTCCATCCCTGAGACTAAGTCCTAGTCCCACGCGGTTCACAACCCTCACTTCCACAGCCCAGTAAATTCCACCCCTAACATCCTGTGAACCTGCCTAGAGTTGCCACTGGACCTGAACTTCCCTCTTCAGCTAGAGTTTGAGCAGGTCTGTTAGTTCCACAATACAATACAAACTAAAGTAATTTAAATTTTAAAGGCTAAGCTGTTAATGCTTACATTTAATTGTTAATGCATAAACTTGTGTGTGTGTAAAGCTGTACACTGTAACTTTGCAGACAGTGATCCATTCAAACAGTGAATATTCACAGTGGTGTAATTGAAACACATTCTTCTTCCGAACTACCTTTTGCAGGAGTACGTTTCGGTAGCTACAGCTACGGCCAGAAAGCCACAAGGCTTCTCCAAAACTAGGGGGGAGGTGTGTGTGTGGGGCGTTAAGTGCATAGTATTTGAAAGGCGCGTTAGCCTTCGATTTTGAAAAGCTAGGGGAAAAAAAAACCCATCTGCCCCTACCGTACAGCCATCTCTCCTCCCGCTCGCACACCAGGGAGGGTGGTGCCAAGCAAAGGCGAAGTCGGCCTGCCGGCTACCTTATCAACACAGAAGGGACGAGGGAGCCCTCCGGCGATCCCCAGCACTGCATCTTTGGAGCCCTGAGAGACATCGGGCCTGGGGTACCCAACAGCTAGGGAGTGCGGCGCCCGCCCCCAACCACGGGGATTCTCCCCCCAGCATCGCCAGGCAGCGGCCCGAAAGCAGGGCGCAGAAGCAGCACCACTGGACACTGTGGGGCCCAGCCCCGCGGAAACTGGGAACAGGGGATGGGGGAAGGGCGAAGAAACGCGCCCCTTTCTGGCTCCGGAGCCCAGACTCCCCGCCCTGGAGTTCTCCTCCCCTGGAGACCGGGGGCCGCCGCCGCGTCCCTCACCTGGCAGCCTGGGCTGTACAGAGCGATTGGTGAACCAAGCTCTTCGAACCGTCCTTCAGGCTCGCGCACTCGCTACGAGTCTCTCCCCACTCAGGCTCTCTAGCTACAGCCGCGCGCGCCTTTGCAGACCCCACCCCAAGGGCGGAGCCAGGAACTGACAGCGCGAAGGGACGCAAGCACGAGCGGCAGATTTAGGATAAATGCGCGCCTGCGCGCCTCAGGAGCCCTAAAAGCGCATGCGCTTAACTGACTGCGCGGACGCACGCGCCGTTCCTGTGGCGATTTGACAGGACAAGGGTGCGTGGGGGAGGGGCCACCCTTATGCTGGCAGGTCACGCACATCCCTCTCCTTTACCAAGATGGCGGCCGGCCCCTCGGCCTCGTACCCAGCATAGGCTTCGCTGTAGGCCTATTAGAGGTAATGCCGATCTCCACTCACACTCGCTATGGCAGCGCGATAAAATGGGGGGTCAGGGACGCATCAGGTAAGAGGGGCCGGACAGCTGAACCCGACTCCCCACCCGGGGGGGCGGACTCTGCTGCCTCCAACAAGCTGACGGCAGCAGAGAGACGGGCTTGAAGCCCGCAGTATCTAGTCAGCACTCATCTTCGCTCTATGGTTTGTTCCTTTTCTATTGGTGCTGGTGGGCCACGTGCTAGTGGTACTCCCTCTCGTCTCCCCCCCCCCCCCGTTACCATAGAGCGCGGCGGAGGGAGAGGCAGCCGCCTTCCGGTGGGGGCTGGGGACGGGACTATGTGCGCTGCTCAAGAGAGGGGCGTATGCAGCTACAAAGCTGCGGGGGTGCCACTGTCCAGCCTCCCACCCAGTTGTGGGTGCAGAGTGGATGTAGTCTCATCCCTGCCACCCACTTTTAACCGCGTGGCAGCTTCATCCTCCCCCCATAGATCAGTGGCAGGGGGAGTGTTGCCATCTCCAAGTATTGAAAATATGAGTCATGGCCTGGTTCCCCCACACCACCAAATTCATGAAATTGTAAATGTATATGGGGTGGTTTTTATTTGCCACTGGGTTTGTGCAGTATTGGAGGCAGATTTTGTTGCTGCTCTCAAAAACCATGAGCTAAAATGAAACTTTAAAAAGCTGATATTCTGATGTATTCCCATACTTAGGGTTTAAGGCTATATCTGCAAAGGGAGATTAGGCACTAATTGGGATGAGGAGACAGTATTCCCTCATTTAACTTGGTGGTGGCTTTGCTCCCAGCTCCATTGGGCCTGCCTTTGCATTCCCTTGGAAAATTATTGCACTGGGGTTTGGAGTTTAACTTCTTCCATCACCTGCAGCAATGACAGCCTTAGAGATTATCTAAGTTTGCTAGCCCCCAGCACGTAGCTGCAGGATAAACTTCCCCCAAGATGTCCTGCCCCTGTCCCTCTCTAGCCTTGAGGGAATCAGACATGGCAAGGGTAGTTCAATCTCCTTTCTGCTGAAAGAGCAACAAGGAAACTTCTGCTAGTGGCTTTAGTAATATCAACACCTGTCCCTTGGGAACAGGGGCCAGACCCTCCAACTCACTGCATTTATTATTTAGTGCTTGGGTATAGAATCATAGAATATCAGGGTTGGAAGGGTCCTCAGGAGGTCATCTAGTCCAACCCGCTGCTCGAAGCAGGACAAATTCCCAACTAAATCATACCAGCCAGGGCTTTGTCAAGCCTGACCCTAAAAACCTCTAAGGAAGGAGATTCCACCATCTCCCTAGGTAACCCATTCCAGTGCTTCACCACCCTCCTAGTGAAAATGTTTTCCCTAATATCCAACCTAAACCTCCCCCACTGCAACTTGAGATCATTACTCCTTGTTCTATCATCTGGTACCACTGAGAACAGTCTAGATCCATCCTTTTTGGAACACCCATTCAGGTAGTTGAAAGCAGCTATTAAATCCCCCCCACATTCTTCTCTTCTGCAGTCTAAACAATCCTAGTTCCCTTAGCCTCTCCTCATAAGTCATGTGTTCCAGCCCGCTAATCATTTTTGTTGCTCTCCGCTGGACTCTTTCCAGTTTTTCCACATCCTTCTTGTAGTTTGGGGCCCAAAACTGGACACAGTACTCCAGATGAGGCCTCACCAATGCTGAATAGAGGGGAATGATCACGTCCCTCGGTCTGCTGGCAATGCCCCTACTTATACAGCCCAAAATGCCATTAGGCTTCTTGGCAAAAAGGGCACACTGTCGACTCATATCCAGCTTCTCGTCCACTGTAACCTCTAGGTACTTTTCTGCAGAACTGCTGCTTAGCCATTTGGTCCCTAGTCTGTAGCAGTGCATGGGATTCTTCCGTCCTAAGTGCAGGACTCTGCACTTGTCCTTGTGGAACCTCATCAGATTTCTTTTGGGCCAATCCTCTAATTTGTCTAGGTCCTTCTGTATCCTATCCCTACCACTCCTCCCAGTTTAGTGTCATCTGCAAACTTGCTGAGAATGCAGTCCACGCCATCCTCCAGATCATTAATGAAGATATTGAACAAAACCGGCCCCAGGACCGACCCTTGGGGCACTCCGCTTGATACCGGCTGCGAACTAGACATGGAGCCGTTGATCACTACCCGTTGAGCCTGATGATCTAGCCAGCTTTCTATCCACCTTATAGTCCATTCATCCAGCCCATACTTCTTTAACTTGCTGGCAAGAATACTGTGGGAGACCGTATCAAAAGCTTTGCTAAAGTCAAGGAATAACACATCCACTGCTTTCCCCTCATCCACAGACCCAGTTATCTCCTCATAGAAGGCAATTACGTTAGTCAGGCATGACTTGCCCTTGGTGAATCTATGCTCACTGTTCCTGATCACTTTCCTCTCCTCTCAGTGCTTCAAAATTGATTCCTTGAGGACCTGCTCCATGATTTTTCCAGGGACTGAGGTGAGGCTGACTGGCCTGTAGTTCCCCGGATCCTCCTTCTTCCCTTTTTTAAAGATGGGCACTACATTAGCCTTTTTCCAGTCATCCGGGACCTCCCCTAATTGCCATGAGTTTTCAAAGATAATGGCCAATGGCTCTCCAATCACATCCACCAACTCCTTTAGCACCCTCTGATGCAGCGCATCCGGCCCCATGGACTTGTGCTCGTCCAGTTTTTCTAAATAGTCCCGAACCACTTCTTTCTCCACAAAGGGCTGGTCACCTCCTCCCCATGCTCTGCTGCCCAGTGCAGCAGTCTGGGAGCGGACCTTGTTCGTGAAGACAGAGGCAAAAAAAGCATTGAGTACATTAGCTTTTTCCACATCCTCTGTCATTAGGTTGCCTCCCTCATTCAGTAAGGTGCCCACACTTTCCTTGACTTTCTTCTTGTTGCTAACATACCTGAAGAAACTTTCTTGTTACTCTTAACATCTCTTGCTAGCTGCAACTACAAGTGTGATTTGGCCTTCCTGATTTCACTCCTGCATGCCTGAGCAATATTTTTATACTCCTCCCTGATCATTTGTCCAATCTTCCACTTCTTGTAAGCTTCTTTTTTGTGTTTAAGATCAGCAAGGATTTCACTGTTAAGCCAAGCTGGTTGCCTGTCATATACTCTGGTTTCTCTTCAGATCGTATAATTCTTTCTACACATTGGGATGCTTGTTTCTGCAACCTCAATAAGGATTCTTTAAAATACAGCCAGCTCTCCTGGACTCCTTTGCCCCTCATGTTATTCTCCCTGGGGGTTCCTGCCCATCAGTTCCCTGAGGGAGTCATTCTGCTTTTCTGAAGTCCAGGGTCCGTATTCTGCTGCTCGCCTTTCTTCCTTGTATCAGGATCCTGAACTCTACCATCTCATGGTCACTGCCTCCCAAGTTCCCATCCACTTTTGCTTCCCCTTCTAATTCTTCCCTGTTTGTGAGCAGCAGGTCAAGAAGAGCTCTGCCCCTAGTTGGTTCCTCCAGCACTTGCCCCAGGAAATTGTCCCCTATGCTTTCCAAAAACTTCCTGGATTGTCCGTACACTGCTGTATTGCTCTCCCAGCAGATATCCGTGTGATTGAAGTCTCCCATGAGAATCAGGGCCTGTGATCTAGTAACTTCTGTTAGTTGCCGGAAGAAAGCCTTGTCCAGCTCATCCCCCTGGTCTGGTGGTCTATAGCAGACTCCCACCACATCCCCCTTGTTGCTCACACTTCTAAACTTAATCCAGGGACTCTCAGGTTTTTCTGCAGTTTCATACCGGAGCTCTGAGCAGTCATACTGCTCTCTTACATACAATGCAACTCCCCCACCTTTTCTGCCCTGCCAGTCCTTCCTGCACAGTTTATATCCATCCATGACAGTACTCCAGTCACGTGAGTTATCCCACCAAGTCTCTGTTATTCCAATCACATCATAGTTCTTTGACTGTGCCAGGACTTCCAGTTCTCCCTGCTTGTTTCCCAGGCTTCTTGCATTTGTGTACAGGCACTTAAGATAACTCACTGATCGTCCCGCTTTCTCAGTATGAGCCAGGCGTCCTCTCCTCTTGCGCTCTCCTGCTCGTGCTTCCTCCCTGTATCCCATTTCCCCACTTACCTCAGGGCTTTGGTCTCCTTCTCGCGGTGAACCTAGCTTAAAGCCCTCCTCAGTAGGTTAGCCAGCCTGCTTGCAAAGATGCTATTCCCTCTCTTCGTTAGGTGGAGCCCGTCTCTGCCTAGCACTCCTCCTTCTTGGAACACCATCCCATGGTCAAAGAATCCAAAGCCTTCTTTCCGACACCACCTGCGTAGCCATTCGTTGACTTCCACGATTTGACGGTCTCTACCCAGGCCTTTTCCTTGCACGGGGAGGATGGACGAGAACACCACTTGCGCCTCAGACTCCTTTATCCTTCTTCCCAGAGCCACGTAGTCTGCAGTGATCCGCTCAAGGTCATTCTTGGCAGTATCATTGGTGCCCACGTGGAGAAGCAGAAAGGGGTAGCGCTCCGAGGGCTTGAGTCTCAGCATTCTCTCCGTCACATTGTGAATCCTAGCTCCTGGCAAGCAGCAGACCTCTGTTTTCCCGGTCAGGGCGACAGATAGATGACTCAGTCCCCCTGAGGAGGGAGTCCCCGACCACCACCACCACCCTCCTCCTTCTCTTGGGAGCGGTGGTCATGGAACCCCCATCCCTAGGACAGTGCATCTCATGCCTTCCAGTCGGTGGACTCTCCTTCTGCTCCCTTCCCTCAGGTGTATCATCTAGTCCACTATCCGCATTAGTACCTGTGGAGAGAACATGAAAACGGTTGCTCACCTGTATTTCCATTGCTGGTACATGGACGCTCCTCTCTCTTCTTCTGGAGGTCACATACTGCCAAATTTCTTCACCGTCCCTCTGTCCCTGCTGCGCAGCCTGCTCTGATTCTTCAGAATGTTTTGCCTGTAGAAGCAAATCCTGACATCTGTCCAGGAAATCTTCATTTTCTCTTATGCCACCAAAGTCGATACTTGCGATACATAG